AATTAAGAGCTCCGCGCGCAAAATTCCGCGCTAAGTCGAAAGACGCGAAGCAAATAGCCGCGGCCGCTCGTAGCAGGCACTTAAAAGCGGGATAACGACGCCAACTGAGAGCGGCTCTAACGTCTCTCCTCGAGGATGCTCGTCGTCTGGCGACGTCATCCTCTCTCGAGAGAAAGAGAGAGAGAGAAGGAAAAGAAAAAAAAACAATTCTCCGTTAACTCTCTCTCGAAAGAGAGAGAGGGAAAGAGAGAGAGAGAGAGAGAGAGCGCAGCTGTGAGCGGAAAGTGTGGGTCGCAGGCCGCAGGAGCAGCGTGGCGTCGTAAATTTAGTCGGGCCAGGGCGGACGTGGATTCCTCTCTTTATTCCCGCGGAACGAAGAGCACCGGTCGCGCCCGCGACGACGTCTCGCTAAATTGCGATTCCCCGTTTACCGTCGCTCTACTTGGTACTGCTGTCAGTATGAACCGAGTGCTTTCCGTGTCCGGGTACCCGGACATCTGACACCGCCAGTGATCATTCGGAATTTTACACGTCAAATCGCTTTACGAGCATTTCCGCCGAATCTTCGTAGAGCAATGTTGGTTATTTCTCTTCGTGTAGTTTCGATTAATCAGCCGAGGCTAATCAAATTTAACTCATTTTCAAGTCAATATACATTCCCTCTCATTGTCCTCTTTTTATATATCGCATATATTTACTAGTTTGTACTTTATTATTAATTCATAATTTATTTTTCGTAACGTCGATTGAACATTCTTCTTTTAAATTTTTATAGATATTAGACTAAACAATGCTTTCCTGTGTATGAATATTATTATTATTATTTATAATTATTTTATTGATCACATATCGCGGTCCCGATGCTGAACTTTGAACCAATTGAAGGTGCAAAAGCTTCGATGATTGTATGAATAAAAATCCATTAAGAATCGTCATATCAATTCCCTTATAAAAAAAGGAAGAGATGGATTTCTCAGAGAATATAATCGGTTCTGGAAAAATTGAATGGAAACCGTGCACCACTGAACATTAGTCCCTGGCCGTTGCGTGGCTCGGCGGGAGTCGTTCGACGAGCAGCACACTTGCTCAATTAGCGTCAGCCACTTCCAAGAAATACCTAAGCATTGAGCGTTAGAATCTCTTCGTCTCGAGAAGAATTCGATTGTACGAAGATTCGAATTGGCTTCGAGTGCCGTTCGAAACCGAAAATTCTGCCAATTCTACTAATACCGTGGCCTCGTTTTAACAGTATTTTCATTTCGATAATTTTCATTCTCGCACTCCGACTAAGTAGAGGATGACGCAATTGTTATCCCGCCACGATAAATTTATGCAGAATGAGGCAACAATTATTACTATTTTGTAAAAACCATATTAAATATCTCATTAATTGTGTTATTGAATATCTTTGAAATGCGAGAGTAGGGGAGAAAAACGTATTCAGTAGAAATTGCATTGATAATGCAATCTCGTCGTCACGTCGAACACCTTCTGTAATTGCAAGCTTCTCTCATCTTCACATCGCTAGTCGTTAATAAAACATTTTTACTTTTCCAAGAAGGCAAAAAGAGAGCCGTTGCCTCACCCCGTATACATTAACATAAACAAGGGTCTAAATCGGGGGCGAAACATTTGCTCATAAATGTTGATACGATGGGTAATACAATTTATATTTCACCGACGCACCGTTAATCGCTTCTAAGATCCCATTGGCCTTTCTAATGTGAGATTCGATCAAAAATTCCTGGCTCGAAACTTTCGTCGTGCGCTCGCCGGAGCGACTCGACGTCTCTCGAGATCATCGCGTGATTCCGGCGTTTTTAAATATTATTAAATCGTCAAGATTCACACGAATCATTCGTCACACTCACACGCACGCACACATAGGCGTGTCCTATACAACTCCACGGGCATAAACGCGAAAGTAGAATAGAGTTTTTTAAGCGTGGCCGCCGAACGCTTTCGAATAGGGAGGAGCCGATTTCCATATCTCGAACATTTACCTGTCGCCCACACCCACCTCGCCGAGATCGTTTTGCGCGCGCGGATCCATTTCGACGAGCGCGCTCCGCTCGAGTAGAAAGTTGTTATCGCCGGGGATAAAATGTCAATGTAATTATCGCCGCGCCGTTGCGATTATTAACGATGAGAGTGATGTTTAATTTTCCACGATTTAATGTAATAGGATACGTCGCCGTCGTCTCGATACCACGAGCTTTTACCATGGCCAACGTTCGACGTCATTAAGACTCGAGCGCGAGGCGATATGCAAAATTCGCGCGGCGTATCAATCAGATAATTCATTACCTCGATCGGGAATAACAGAATGCACGCACGCGAGGAATTCCCGATATAATCCTTTAGAACATAACGGCGCCGTAATATTCGCCGAGACGCTCTCGCTGCTCGCACGGCATAAAAGTACCTTTGATCCGCCACAATCCGATACACACACAGGCGGTCAGTTCATCGCGGTCGGCGTTTTCGCTTAATGGCTATTTCGCGTGGACTTCACATCGGTGAAAACGGCCGCGCTGCACCGTCGCGTTCCCAATCGCCGCTAATACGCGAAAACGACCGGTTTCGAATTCGATGCGAAAGTTAATTCGAACCGTTGCATCGAGTTTAGCGACAACGACGACGACGACGGCACGTCGATCGGGATACGCCTCTCTTCTCCTACGTTCGTGGTTTTCGTCGTTCCTCGTTCATCGATCGTATCGGACGATACCAGGAGAAAAAAGAACGATGAGCGAATGAGGCGCAACCGGATCGCCTCTCATCTCGTTCACAATGTTACAGCGAAATCGATGAAATTTCAGCTCGGGGCTGAAATTCGCGTGCGCAAGAAACGGCACTCGTCGTATCCGAGTGAGAAAGAGAACGAGGAGGAAAAAGAGGAAAGAAGAAAGGGGGAGCGGGGGATGGGGGGGGGGGGGGGTNCAGACACGCACACACGAAGACACGTTATTTGTGCGTCGCAAAAATAAGGCGGCAGGTGTGCGTACGCGCCGAACGTACGGGGGAATAAGTCAGCGACTAACTGGGAAAGGTAATAAAAACGAGAGGGAGAAGCCGGCACCCCGATCGAAAACTAGTTGCGCGCAAAGGAGAAGCACCTGTCCGCGTTTCGCGAGCGAAGCGCGCGCGATTGTACATAAATATTAAAAACCTACATTCTGTCGGAGAAAGTGATGCGCGGGAAGGATATCGCGCGCGCGCGATCGTTATTTGCGACCAGAGATCGGACGCGGATCCTTATTTCGGACGAAAACGACAACGAGAGTAAACGAGTTGGCCGAGTGTGCTCCCTGTAAATTTCTCGGAGTGAAATCTCGCTCAAAAGTCGAGTGAAAATACCGTCTCACGCGGAATCGCAGTAAAGTAAATGTTTAACTCAGAACCGATTTCTTAATCCACACAAGCGAACGTTTCGGTGGAGCACGAGAGATTTACTCGTCGATTTCGAGCGAAAATATTCACTCAACGACTTGGAGTGGGGAGTCCAGTCTGCATGAGGGAAAATTCCACCCAAATTCGAGTGACTCAGCTGTTACTCTACTTTTTAAATCGGCTTTTACATGAAGAAATTTAGGGAGCAATCTCGAAATCTCTCGGAGTGAAATCTCATTCAAAAGTCGAGTGGAAATTCACTCGAAGTGAGTGAATCTCTCAATCGATTAAACCGAATTTGTCTCAATGACATTGAAACATGTCAGATTAACCCTTCAATTTTGAATAAAAATACTTAACTAACGATTTAGAATTTAGTGAAAAATACAGATTGAATGAACGAAAAATCAGTTGAATTCGAGCGACTCGGTTGTTATTTTATTTTTTAAATAAATTTTCACGCGAAGACATTTAGACATTGCTTTCTAAATTTCTCGGAGTAAAATCTCGCTCAAAAGTCGAGTGAAAATTCACTCGAAGCGATAGTGCAAATACCGTCACTCGGAATCGCAAGAGTGAATGTTTAACCCTTTGCACCCGAGGGCTCCGGAGCGGAGCCATTTAAAATTTGTCTTCAAACTTAAAACAAACTATTTACAACTATTAACAAATTAACAAAATTTAAAAAACAATAACATACAACAATGACTTTTCTTTTAATGCGCATATCATTTACTTATATGTGAATATGATCTTTCCATTGAAATTGCTTCGAGTTGCTGGTAATATGAATGAAAAAAAACTTCAAGTGCAAAGGGTTAACTCAAACTTTGATCGCGTTCCTAATCCGCACGAACGAATGTTTCAGTCGATTTGAAGAATTTGTTCCAGTGACGGTGCAGCACGTTAAATTTATGCTTCAACTTCGAATGAAATTATTCACTTGATGATTCAAGAGGGAAGAGTGAACTTTATATGACTATAAAGTCATTCACCTTCGAGCGACTCGACTGTCACCCTGTTTTTCGAATGGAATTTTCTTTTCGGAGACATATAGAGAGTACTCTTTCTTCGAATCAAATAAATTTGAAGAGTATTCTCTACGAATTTATTTACTTACTTAAAGAAAATTAGAGAGCATTTTTGCGCGGTATCACAAAAGTGCATGTTCGACTCAAACTCAGAGTGGATTCTTAATCCATTCGAGTGAATGTTTCATTCAATTAGAATGAATTTATTTCAGTGACGGTGGAATGCGTCAGATTCGCGCTTCGATTTCGAGTAAAAATATTCAGTCAATAATTTATAGTGTAAGAATTCATTCCGCACGAGTAAAAAGTCATTCAACTTCGAGCGACTCGGCTGTCACTTCGCTTTATTATACATGGAACTTTACCCGAAAAAAAAAAACTTAAATAATACGCAATGCGCTTATCTCGAGAATATTTCCGCTGGAAATTTTCGTCCAGCTGGAAGTTTATCCGAACAACAACGTCCGACACTGTCTCCCCGTGTAATATTCGTATGGAAAATTACGGCACGATAGCAGGGAGCGATAAGGTGAGGCGCGCAATTTCGATTGTGTTCAGCCTCGTGGGAAAATTTACCTGGTCGACAATGGCGGATGGTGTCCGACAATTTCGTGATATCGGCCGCATCGCAACGTACGATTTCGGGAATATGCATGTAAGATCCGAAGAAACAGGAAACCACGTTACTGGCGAAGCCCACCTCCCGTAACACGCGTGCTTCGCCGCCATCCGGTGAAACCTCGCCCGGCGACGACTTCCGGAATCGTATTACCTTGCGCTCCTGAAAGCCGAAAAATACGTCCAATAAAGCCGAGAAACAACTATGGAGAACGCTTTGTATATTTTTTCCCCTCCCCCTCTTCCTCCTCTGCCACTCTTTTCTTAAAACACGCACGTTAACCGTTCAACAGCTGTGGATACGTCACGTCATGCTCGACATTTTCATTCCGAGATCCTTGCGCGACACCGCCGTCGCTATAAGTAACCACGAAGTTACATTCCATTATGCGGACCTGCGATTGGAGAGAGAAAAAAAAAGAGAAAAAAAAGAAAAAAAACGCCATGAGCACGCAAAAAGAACCAAGGTGGACGCGTCGTGGATATTCTTTGCCGGCTAACAACGATGACGACGACGACGACGATTTCTCGGTCTGGCTGACAAATGAGCTTGCATTTTCCATGCGGCTGTATACACTGCTAGCGTTATCAGGAACAGATCAATGCCTCAACCCGGCGACACGACACCGAGCAGACGGCGGACGTGTGTATGTAGGTCGACTTTATGAAAAATTCCCGGGTTAAAGATAACGGATTGCGAGCCACTCTCGGCTCACCTCGCCCGTTGTTTCCAACTTCGAACACGTTCCAGCCGACCCCACCCGTTCGACTCTGATGGCGGCCGAATGCGAATGTTATTAATCGGCGCACGGACTAGAGATTACAATCGCGATACACCCGGAAGTTTAACCGAGGACCCCCGAATTTTCACGCGGCGGCGAGATAAAGCGGCACGTCTCGTCGCGTCCACATGTAAGGAAGACCGGGCTATGTTATTCGTGCGTTTTCGTATTTGTATTCTTATGAAATAAATAACGGCAAGAAAATCGTGAAATGTTTTCTTTTGGAGCACAGCTGGCTCCCCCCCCCCCCCCCCCCCCCCNGAACTTCATTGTATAGTATATAAGTGAACTTCCAAGCAACTTTTCGAAGTTGCGCGTTAATATTCTTCATCGTGAATGGATAAACTGAAATGACTTGTTACTGGTTAGAATGAGGCTTTCTACTGCTGTATACTGTTTTACGTGATAAAAAGAACTTTTATTGAGCAAATTATTGAAATATATTGTATATGAATAAATGGGACGGATCAGCCAATATTTAATTAACCCGGAAGCCCGTACCATGATACTGAATTGTATAATTTATTAAATCGTTTCTATGTTAAACATATAAATCAATATATAAACATAGTTTACGCTCTATTACATTATAATTACGCTATTGATTAATTGGCTTTCGGGGAGAGAGGTCCCTCTGCCATTACTAAGGAAGTATAGTTACGCTAATATAAATAAGAAACAATATATATATTGTTATATATTCTGGCCATTATATATTCTGGCTGTTAAAGTATACTCTTGCACTTTTTTCTGAAACAAAACAATAGTAGTAAACCTCATTTATTGCAAAATAGTTTTAAACGATAAAATATTCCTCGATGACCCGCAGGTTCGTCACGCGCATGTCCGTATTTCGGTTATTGCAAAAAAAGACACAGTTTACAAGATCGTTCCCGACATAAAAAGAACGTGGAGAAATGCTCCGTTGTCGTATGGTCAATCGCAATTAGCTGTCGGAAAAGTTGTAACATCGAAATAACCGAACAGTTAGCCTGGAATCGGCCCGGCCGAAAAGTCTGAAAGGAGAAATTCTGAAAACTGTGCGAACCTGCCTCAATCTTCCCTTTGTTCGTCGACGTTCGTCGGTCGAACGGCTGAAATCCAGGTCGACGTTTCACACGTTTCGTCCTGCGCGTCTCGCTACGATTTTCACGCGGCGGGCTTTAATCACACGCTGGCATTAATCAACGGGGTGTGCGCTCGTGGCTCTTTTCTATGCGGGAGACCGGCCCCGCGCGCTACACTACTTTAACCGGCCGACGGTTTTGTCACGTAAAAAAGACGAAGATGGACGGCCCGATCGACCGGCCCAATAATGACGGAACGGTGAACGCTCTCGACGTGGCCGTTGCTACGCGTTCCACTTTGCCGATCCTTCGACGCGATATGCCCACGAATTATTGACGATTCCGATAATAGCAGCGGACCGTCGCGGGTAAACAACGGTGTGGTGTAGCGACTATACCACACGAACGGCGAGAAAACGCAGCGCCGCGCGTTGTAGTATGCGCGAACCTGTCGTGTCTGTTGAGCCGTGAAATCGTTCAGTCGGAAGAGTCAATAGAATTCGAATCATTTCGTACGGATCGCTCGGAGAACGAGAGAAGATGAGAGAAAGAGAGAGAAGCGAACGGACGATGCACACCACAAGTGATATGGTACAGATGTTGCATACTTAAAATGATAGAGATGTTGCACACTTAAAAATAACCCTCCCGGAATCTTTAGATTGTTTCTCCAATTTTTCACGTTGAAAAACACAGAATATCATGCGCTGATTTTAATTGCATTAACAGGCTATGCATTTTGGTCAAAAGTATTCCTCTATGTTAGACCTCTTCAATGGAATGCTTTCAACGTTTAAATGCTCACTTATTACTCGTGGCAGGATGCGTAAACGAATAATTTCGTACTAATGTATTTACTTATTTCTTTTTATTAAATTATTCACTCATATATGCATTCGAATATGTATTAATTTATTTTGATGATATTATTAACTTTTTTTATCTTTATCTAGTCGTTAATCAAATATTCTTATTTCTTAAACGTAATCAAAGTGGTAATAGTTATCGTCTCGCTCGGAATATAATCGATGAATTTCTTTTCCCGTTGATAAATAATTATTGTTATTATATTTAACGAAACGACGTTACTCGTTCGGACGTTCTCGACAATTCGTCTTCGACGAATCGCCGCTGGTTCACCTTTGCGCGCGAGAGAAAAAATCAAATTCGGAACGTTCGATTGATCACATCTAACAGTGAATTTCTCAAAAGCGTAGCGACCCGACGTGAACCGTCCAATCGATATATAGGCTAAGCCGGCTGACGTGGCTGCAAGTTTTTCATGCGTCACGTCTATTAATGCTAACGTATATACCCGGCCTACGTATGCGTGTTTGTATGTGTCATTTTTTTCGTGCAATGTCTGCCAACAAACCCCGCGATCTCCACGCAGGAAATCGTGCGCGCGCGATTACGACACGCCTAAAAATACCGAGATGTGTAACGATAATAACATAAATATTTTAAATCGAAAATCTTCGTTATAAGCAACGTTTCCTAAGTTAAGATCGTAATAAAGAAGACGGCTCGTTCTATATTCCCTATTTATAATTTCGCAAGCTTCCCCCTCCTCATGTTTTTGCGCGTTTTCCTCGTGAGAAGAACCGTCGGCGTTGTAAACGTAAATTAAATTAATTATCCGCGAGATATAAATTAAAGCGCACGGCGGGAGATGCTAATCACGTTGCGGCGGTTACGTAAAGCGAAATTAAACGAGAGATCAGGAGGTGCGCGTTTCGACCTCGTTAAAACGCTCGATGACGGCGCTTACATTAACGCCGCTCGCATTATTTTTACACGATTCGATCCGCGCGGCCCTGCGAGAGAATAAGCTGTATTTTTTCTCACGCGGTGCACAAAATGACAATGCGCGGCCGCGGCGGGCCTTCGACAAAAATAACGCAACGTTATCGGCTTCGGTCCGAATTAACCCGCAACATCCCGACGACGGTTGTTCGATAGACGTACCGAAGACGCTCAAGAAAGAAAGTAGGATGCGACGAGAACAAAAATGGTTGATCTCATTACAAACTGTGGTCTCTCGGCGCCAACTATTCTTTCTTATTGTTTTAACAAGAAGAGAAAGCGGCAATGGCAATACTGATTTATCATCGGCGACGCTACAGTAGAGCTTAAAGACAAAAATCAGTTTGTTACATAAAAAAAAAGTGTGCTAGATTCACGTCAATAATTATTCTCTCTTAGCCAATTTTTACTTGGATGGGTGAAGTAATATTCATTCGAAGCAAAATATTTTCCAAGCGAATTATCTAAATAAAATATTTATTTTGTTCCAAATAAAATTGATTTGACCCAAGTAAAAATTTTCTCTAAGGAGTATTAGAATAATTATATTTACTTAAATCCTTACTTAAATCTTTACTTAAATCTACGTTTGTGTAACTATAAGGGAGACTACAGAGAAGACCAAAGCGAGTTGACGAATTTTACAAAATTTCGGTGTTACAATTTTTCACATATGATATATTGTATACAACCGATTGTCGCGACTGACTGTACAAAACTGATGGACAACTTCCTTCTGTTCACTTACGCCGGGAATAACCGCAAATATTTTTTTCTCTAATAACCGAAACACAAACATTTTGCAATACGGTCAACCTGATCGTCGCGTCAACTTGCTCCGCCTTACCTTAATTAGCCCGCTGTGCAATTATAACCACGAAAACCGCATGCATCGTTTACTCAGAGAATCTTTCAGACATCTCTGAGGCGCCTCTGAGACGTCCCTAAGACGTCTTCCCGGTACTCGTGTGTGTTATCTGCGATATCTGTGCTTTTAATACACGCGAAGGCTTGAGCAATCTCCAAAGGATTCCTCGCTGACGCACCCCCCNCCGCCCTCGTTCCACATCGAGCGGCGTGCAAACGAGCGACGTAAACTTCTGTCGCGGCAATTCATCAGATTTAGATCGGAGATGGCGCGCGCGCGCGGAACACGCGGACGGAAGTGTGTCCGGGTCCGTACAAAACGGGCAGGAAATCGATATCGACGCGCGGCCGCGCGCGTTCGTTTCGATCTGGCGAGGCGACGAGAGCCGGCCGGATGCCCGCATCGGCGAACCGTGTCCCGCGCGTACGATCTCATTAAATTCAACATGACCCGCTCCGCTCGCTCGCTGCACGACAGATCGCGCGGAGACCTCAACAGCCGCCAACGGTAGCCGGGAACGGTATCGCCGCCGCCGCCGCCGCCAGCGGCGCTGCATCGTCCGCTCTGCTGCTGGAGCCGCGCGGCAAGCGAGCACCGCGCCGCGATTTCCCACCGAAAATGTCACGCCGCGACCCGTTTC